CAATAGTCATGTGTGATTCCTGAAGCTATTAAATCAAACCCATTTTATCAACTGCTTACTAACTGGAGCATTACTCTCCCTTATTTCAGTCTCGCTAACAAGGAAAAATAGGGCCAAGTTTTTATACTTCAACTAGTGTCACGAAGTCTGATTTACGCTGGCATAGAAAGAAGGTGGGATCAGAATAAGACCCATTACCTTCACTTGTCCCATTTTAAAGCAGCTGGCTTTTTTATCAAGCTAATCAGTTTTAAGAGCCCAAGACACTACAGTGAAAATACATATTTAGAGCAGTTATATTACTTGTTTTCTTAAGGGCAAATTCAGAGTTGGGAATGGGTAAGGGGGGTCCATGCCGTTCAGTCTGTAGAATCCATTTGCTCCAGCTCTGCACTTGGCCCCGTAAACGCAATCCAGTGTTCCTGGGAGAAACTCACTGCAGGTTTTTAGTTTTACAAGGCAACTTTACCATTGAGGACTAATAAATAGTATCTTCGGGAAGCAAATGTATCCAGCCCACTAGACGTCTCAGATAATCAGTCTGTGCATGCATACACTTATAAAAGGAAGGCAAAACAGATACATTTTAATGACAGTCTCATAGAGACCCATCATTCCATATGATGGATTCTGGCACATAAACGTCTCTGTAACATTGCCAGCAGAACAGGCTTTGTTGCAGACTGCAGCAGCATCCTGCTCCAGAAGGTAGCTGCCTGTCTGAGGGGCAGAAACAATGTCACGAACTCTGCCAATTAACTTCACCGCTCAGGGTGGCAAATATCTTAGCGCTTGTAAAGCAGTCTTCCAAACAGAGCCCCGTCCTGCTCTCTCACACTAGCATATTGTCTTCAATGGAGCTGCATTGACAGCTAAATCTAGCCTTCAGAGAATAACATTATGCTTTGTTCATACAACTGGGTAAATCAAGAAGCTACAGTGACCCCATTGATCAGTCTGGGCACAAATAAAATGCCTCTTACTTCAACATGTTTCCACTAATGCAGAGTGCAACTGGGATTTGAGTGGAACAGATATACTCCAGCCTCTAGTGCTAAATACAGTTAACCAGGAACTGTTTTTATTATAGGCTGCACAAGGAGCAACCTGAATAGTTAAACTTGCTAGGCATCTTCGTTAAAAAACCTTCTCCAGTTGTCTCTAATTCTGCTGAACTTTAAGCATTTAGGCCAGCGTTTTCCATGCTGGGTCTCTCTCTCTTGGGCTGAATTCTTTTCTTTTTCTTTTTTTTTTCATTTCAGCTAAAATAGTTCAGAGTTTCTTAGATCAAGATTAAGAAAGAATAAATTGTTTTACCCATGCTAAGCAGCTCCTGAGAAATATGTTATTCTAAGAAACTCCAGTGCCTCCCTGGTTTTAGAACAGGGGCATAACAGCAGGACGACTTCTTGCCAAATGTCAAGGGTGTCTTTTTTGCTGGCTGTAAAACCCTGTGCAAATCTCTTAAGAGCCTCTGAAAATTGCCATTTACATATACACAGAGGTTATTTAGAGCTAAATTTTCCCAATATTTCAGAAGCACAGAGCATGCCTGCAGGCCAGAACTGAAGGGACTTAACAGGACTCTTTCTGCAGTTGCTTTTGCTGGCAGTCATGCAGCAAAAATAAGAGGGGGTGAGGTGTAAAGGGAAAGAGAAGGGCTGGGATGAAGAAAGGCTGAATTTATTTTAGGCAAAGAAATGCATGCTTAGAGCTCAGCCAGACCCCAAGGCAGATCACGCTGGAACTGATTGATAAAGTTGGAAAATCAGGCAGAACATGAAATATGTCCCTCACCTCAGTGAGGAAGTTGAAGGTGAATGGTGAGGGTATGCCTGTTACCAGAAAACTTCCGCCAACACCTCACTTGTAATTATTGTTAACTTTCCTTGACCCACAAGAATAACAGAACCCCACTCAAAAGACTGAAATGTTTACAGGACATCTCTACACAAACTTAACAAACAATGCTTGATGTTGTGCTCATAACATGCAGATTACAGTGCATCTACAAATAAAGGCAGTTTCAGTCACGTATGGGATAGGGTGCATGCAATGCTGCTCTACAAGGGATAGAGTGAAGGACTTTGTGTTTAAAAGGGCTTGCTTTAGCCAGCTGTCTTGAAGACATCCGCATTGTCTGAGCCTGCAATCCCCGACAGCAGAGTAAAGACCAGGACGGGAAACTACCATTTGGCCAATCCAGAAGATTGCTGACTCCCCTAGCAAGTGCTCTATCCTACACATCCTGGACCCTCCGCTATTCTTCCTTTGATTTGTACACTGGCACCAGGGACCACTGCTGCTGCTTGGTTCATTGCTTCCAGTGCTGAGGATCAGCCCTGCAATACTTAAGAGAAGAACTGCCCCACTGGTATCCCCAGGGGAGGACAGAAGAAGGACTTCTGAGCACAGCGACGGTTCTCCTTTTGACAGGACCTTTCGACCACCTGGGCGACAGTGATCATCGCCTGCTGGAAT